GCCTTGCAACAGGTGATTATTGAGATTCACTCCCTCGCTGCGAGAGCTTTGCTGTTGAAGATTAGAAAAACACGTGATTAGAGGTTGATTCACGGTTGTTTTCTCGTACCACAAAGTGACGTTTAAACCGTAGTAATTATAATGACATTGACCGAGATATTTGAAAAGATAATAGAAGAATTATGTTCAGATTATTCAAATAAATGTATAGTGCAATTTTAATTATCTGATTTATTCTTAAAACGTTCATCGATATGCATTGAAAACATGAATGGTATATCAGTATTCGCCCTTTCATCTAGCAACACATAGTTTCAAATTAAAATAAATGAAGTCCAGTTAGACAACCTATTTGGGCTTTAGTTCATTGAGGATGAGTATCATTTATGTAATGTGAATACACGTTCATCTGTATGCTATTTGTCCAAGTATTAACAAAAAAACATGGCCCATTCTTTGAAGATGCCAATGGTGGGTTTCCTTTTAGTTCTGCAAAAATGTCTGGTTCTCATGTCCTTCGAAAAAACGTCTGTGCGCTGCGGAACCAAAGAACCTTTTTTGCTTTGTCGCAGCAGCGGACACTACATCGTCACACTTTCAGAAGGCTTTGCCCCTGACACTTAAGTCACGCCTTCTTTTCTCTGTAAGGTAAACTCGTGCGTCAGTGAAGTTCTTTACTGGAAGTGACTGACGTGAAATCGTACGAGCTCGTCTATTTTCTATTTTATAGTAGCTGACAAAATATGACCTGAACATTATACAAAGTTTAGATAAGCCACAATACGTTCCTGACACATAATTAAGTTGCAAAGCTTTGCACGCGGAAAATCTATACGTATAGTGAGCATTCAAATCATGCTGGACGAGAAGGAAACGACCGCATATTTAAAACTGTACATCTTCCGTCTGCATATCTACCAATCTTTTGAAATCTGATTGTATTTCATTGAACGTATCATAAACGAGACTGTGGGTGACTCTAATTAAAACAATTGTGATCGACGGAAATGTTAGGTAAAATAATTATAACAGTTCAGACACCGAATTTAAAATACATATTAAATAAGACTTTTGAGGGAATACATCATAGTTTTCTTCGTCTTTTAAAATCTAAAGCGTTTGAATGCTCCTGTGTCACAGAACTTGTCGCAGTCTCCTATTCGGCCTTCCTCTGGTTCTCCCTACCTCTTCTCTCACATTTAAAGGCAAACAGTAATCGCCCCAAACTCTAACTTGAATGAAATAAACGCAAAATAATGATTTTTCTATAGCCGGTCCCCTCATTCATCACATGGTGTTCTCCGTATCAGTCTTCTCTCAGAACGTCCAGCCGCCGCGTTCCAATCCTGGGGGAGGGGAGGCGCATGGCCCCTCTGCGTCCGGGTCGCGCCGCGGGAAGCTTCTCGGGGCGGGTGACAGCAATGGCGGGCAACGCCCGCGGCGCCGTCCTCCCGCGAGGCCGAGGCGGGGCGGAGGCGGGACGCGGGCGGGGCCTTGGCGACTTCCGGCGCGGCCCAGGAAGCGCGCGCCGCCAGACGGCCGGTCGCCGCCACCGCCACCGCCACCACCACCACCGCCGCCACCTCCACCGCTGCCGCCTCCGTCGCCGCGATCGTCAGATATACTGCAGCCCGAGGCACGCCCAACAGTGCGGAGAAATGGCACTAAATGCGAGCGTATTACATGTTGTCGGTGCACTATTCATATAAAATTTGCTTGCCTCGAACGACACTACTTTTTAATAAATATAATTTAATAAATACATAACTGTTTAAGAAAGAATTTAATACGAAATATTTAATACAAACACTCCTTTTCATATTCGAAAATAGTGTATTTTTCTAGGAAATGATGTGTGAAAGCTAGTCATTAAAATTTTCTCAATTATGAAATGAAAATAAAAATGTTGGTTAAGACGATATAAACATGCAATACTTGTTCAATAACACTTCTCTTTTTAGCGTTCTATTTTTCATGAAAAACAGTATTTTTTATGAATTTACTGCTGAATTTTCATAATTATTCCAATAATTCTAAATGTTTAATGGTTTACCTAACGTTTTTTCGACCCTCACTGGTTTTGGCCCAATGTGTGACGTGGAGCCCTTCCTGGCTGCGATAGCTGAACGACCGGCGAACGCAATTGTCACACGCTCACAATGCCTCGTGAAAGGTCAACGGGTGTGGCCATTCAACGCGGAACATTTGCACGGGCGATTAATTCATTCGAGCGTCGCAGACAATGCAAGGATGCAAATGCCTTTTTGTTGGATCATTTGCCTCCTTCGATGTGACGTTTTTTCCGCCATTTCGACATCTGAGATCATTCTCCACGTTTTGAGAGCTCGCCCAGTTCCGTGACGGACATCAACGGCTCTTGTAGAGAGGAGCGCGCCGGCGACAGGCACTGCCATCTCTGGACGCTCCGCATATATAAGAGAATTCATTCAGAAGTTCGTAGCTTGAATCAGGGCTGAACGATGGAACAACTATTTGTGGCACCTTTCATCTGATATAACTTCCAAATTTTCAGATAATAAATTTTCAGTAATAAAATGTTAATAAAATAATTATAAAAATATAATAATAATAATAATAATAATAATAATAATAATAATAATAATAAATCCAATAACCAAGCGAAGTGGCTCAGTACGTAGAGCGCTGACTTCACAGCCAGGAGGCGCGGTTTCGATCCCCGGCCCGGCCATCCTGACTGGGGTTTTCGTGAGTTCGATGGTTTATAATCCTCTTATCCCCTCATAATTACAACTCTTAGTAAGTTGTCTTACTATGGGATACAGCCGAAACGCTGTTTCTTATAATGGCACACGTTAATCTCTCTCCAGGATAGAATACAACAGGGCTTGGAAGAAAATGGGTCAGAAATTGACGGAAACGTACATAATAATAATAATAATAATAATAATAATAATAATAATAATAATAATAATAATAATACAGTCGAATAAAGATGAGTTGATCCTGTTGCGTTAAAAATAAAAGTGGTTGGAGATGACGGATTACTGATAGGCCTCCGAACAAGGCAAATACAAAATGCACCCTCCCGCATATACGCCCCTAAAATTGTTGAAATGACCTTTCGTAATGGTTCATGTCGTAAGAAAAGGGGTGCAACATTTCGCATATGTATCAAGTAGTTCTACCAAAAGGTACTCATAGACCTCATTATGCGGCTTTGGCCTTGGCTATGAACAAACTTTAAAAGTGCTCACCGAAATTATTCAATAATATTCTAGTTTGTAAATATAAGTATTTCCGGTGGCCTAGTATTTCCAACAGATTTTTCCAATGAGGATACATTGTTTCCTATTCCAACCTCATGGCAGCCTATAATGCGTATCAAGTGGCCAGTTGAGTCATGTGACATACGAAACTGGCTCTACGCACACCTCGCGAAAATACGTTCCCCGTGTTCGAGCGCTCAGATCTCAGGACATCTGCCTGGTTTGGCGTTCGCCGCCGTCGCAACTGGCCACCCCAGCGGCGGCGGCACAGTAGCAACGCCAGCAGTTGTTGTCTCGTCCAGACGCCAGACAGCGTCCGGCGCTTTTTCGCTCGCCCTCCTCCAAGGCCGCTCGTCTCGCGCGGAGCGATCGACGCGACGCGACGCGTCGCGACGCGGCGGACGGCGCGGCGTCGCAGCCGACTGCCCTGCGCGGGGGTCGCCTCCGTCGCCGCTTGACCGGTTCCGCGGCGCTCCGCACCACCAGGCGACGACGGCCCTCTCGCACGAACTCCCAGTAGGCGCTCTCTTCTGAATCCTAGGCAACTACTGTCCGAATAATATTTCTGTCTACGTGACAGCTGGGGGTAGGGGTAGAGAGATGCTACCACATAACTCGGGCGGCAGACACGTCCTTGCATTGGATCACAATAGCAGCACTAGCAAAAAACCAATCGTATGAGAGCAAACAACAGTAGACGTCACAGAACCACACACACTGTGCATAACCAAACGAATAATGACACCAAATGATGCTCTTCAATTTTTAGGAATTTGGTTGGTAAGATGTAATTTATTTTCGTAAGCAACGGCACCTCTGAAGTGACAATGTCAGTATCAATTCAAATTCGTAAAGTAAAATATCGGGTGTATGGTAGGGGTGCGACATTACCAATAAACCATCGATGTTTCTAAATATTGATGTTCAAAATTTAAAAATTGATGTTAATAAAACAGTGACCCAAAACTATATATCTTATTAAACATCGATGATTTTAAAATATTAACTACAACTTGTACTTACCATTAATATTCACGAAGAGGGGGTAATTTTTATGGTGGTCTAGTGTATTTATTTTTAATTGCGATTTAACTGACAAATAAAATCAAAGACGTTTAAGGAAAACTAGAAAATTCCATTACCTGTTTGGATAATAAAATTAAATAAAATTGACTAAATCGTCGAGGTCTTATTCGGAGTTCTCCCATTTATTCTGTTTCACTCCACTATTGCTCCATCAGCATTTATTTCACATCCGCTTAATCATCTTTATTAAAGCACTGGTTTATCCAAGAGTCGCAAAGTCATCCAAGACACATATTAATATTATTACAAAAACAAAGATACTATATGAAGACATACCCGACGACTAAAAGTATCAAATAACTGTCAATAAGTACTTAAATTTATTCTCAAAGACGTATTATATATTAAGTTGATCGTCTTCTTCCGTATTCCACTACTTAGACACTGAAAAGTATTTTACCTTATACAGAAACTTTAAAATGAACACAGGGCAACGTCCGACCTGTCATTTCCTTATCTAAATTTCATTTCTTATTCAGCTCAAATGAATATTTGATTAGTTCCGAAGCTATCTTTACGTGATTTTTTATAGAAATATATGCACATTATAACCAAGTTCTTGTGAACACAAATATTTTGGAACGTATTTATATTGTAATATTTTTTAATTATGTGCCATTCAAACACCTGGAATTGTGTTAAATAAAACTTATTTTTCTATTTTAGAATCGGGCTGTGTGGATTTGACAACCCGATGCGTGATGCCAAAACGGACGAGATAAAACGTCACATTGGTCACGTGAGTAATCCTGAATCCTTTTTCTTTAGTAACAGTTTCATTAGTAGTTTTAAAAATTATTTTAATACTAGTGTACCTCAGTAAAAATTTCGCAATTTATATTGTTTTAAATGTGAAAATATCTTCACTCTGGAATTCAATTTCAAACGTCCAAGCCCTGATTCATAGGGAAATATTATTCACAAGTAAACGTAACAGTATTACTAAGCGTCAAATTGATTCAGTACATAAAATTCGAGATTCTGCAGTTTTCTAACCATCCGTTCTACGGAGGTGGCATGCAGAAGAGCTAATTCTATAACAATATAATATAAGGATCAGCAACCATTCAGTTCGTAGTTTAAGACTTCAGGAATGGATCTTTCGAATATAACTCGAGATCTTTAAGGAACATATTTTGACTGTAATTTTACATTAAACAAAATGTTTAACGAATTGTAACTGTATTATATCAGAAGCCTATTTAAAACACTTTCACTTCATATCATATATCTTCATATCATCTTGATTATTGCTGCATAAAAAATAAATGTTGGCAAGAGAAATATTATATAAAGAAAATAGGGAACGCTTATTACTTCTATGCAGTGATTGCTCGTCATTTTCCGTCTCGTAATTCTATGTTAATTTATAGGGCGTAAAAGTTAAGATGGACGACCAAGGCAACATCTTGGTGAAGCGCGTGTCTAAATCCAATGTGTACGTGAAGAGCACAGCCGCCGGCCCTGGGGACGAGACCAGCATTGGCAACGAAATCCTTAAGATGCCGGGCTGCGCCTTAGAGATGGACAAGCCTGTCAAGGTAGGTCAACTCCAAAGTTACCTCGTTTGGCTTGTGCACTCAGAAGCTGAGTCAGTCAAATATGTAAGACGTTCTTAGTAAAGGTTTATTTTGTTATGACAGGATTGTTACAATTGTTTGTCATTATCTTCAAATTCACACTTTGGAGACTAGTTCCACGTACATCAATAGGTTGTGTGAAGTCACCGAAATATTGAAAATGATGTCTCAATTTTAATGAATCAACTTCAAATATTTATGAATTGCTTTCATTTGTTTCATCTTTTTTCTTCAGAATTCTTAATTTTTGACGATATGTCAAAGTTGAAAAATGTGATGTATTTGCTGATGCATTCATGTATGAGTAGCTGACTCATACGAATGATAATAGAAACTTCACTATGCTGCTAACGAAACCTCATGTCAATAACATAAATCTTTTGGAACCAGTCACTTTTATTTATTTTTTGTAAGCGAAACGGATAGCATTGTTACGAACAAACAAGTATCTTTACTATCTAAAATAAGATGGTCACGTAAAATAAAAAATGGTTTTTGTCATTGCAAAGAATATTCAACAAATACCAATCTAATTTTACTCGACTGATGTTTCATGATGAATACGTGCTCCTCGCATCATGATGATATCAGACACGTCCCATTAATAATTAACTAGAATAAGACCCCAACGAGGTGTTCGTTGGTTTGTCGAGAGATGACAACGTTCCAACAAGAGTGCTGGGCGTGTTGCAGCTGTTCGACATGAAGAAGTTCCAGCAGAACGTGAGCCGCGAGCTGCGCCGCGCCTACCCCGACCGCCGCCGCCTGGAGTGCCAGTGCCTCAGCGCCGTGGCCTTCGTCAAGGCGGAGTCGGAGCTGCTCGACTGCCCCATCTGGGTGCTCATCATCAACGTCGTCGCCATGGACATGCTCAAGTCGCGCCTGCCGCCCGGTGAGTCCCGCTGCTTTTCCTCCTTGTCTTTGTTCTTCACTCTGATTTTTTTTTAAATAAGGAAGGGCAGATTGGTGCATGGAGCATGTTTCGGGGAAATGCTGAATCAATGCATGAGTTAGGGGTTATTTTCTACTCTTTTTGACGTGAGTGCACACGACTGAAATTAAATATTTAAAACTCAAATTAACATTTTTAATTACTTTAAAATTATTGAGTAAATCATAACTCAAGAATGGAAAAAATGAAGAGCCCTCTTTATTCTACGCCGAAATGAATTAAGTTGGATATACTTTCGTCAATATTATGCATGCCACAGTATTATGCTTGTTTTGTAACCATTTTTAGTGTACATCACCGTCGGCTTCTACACTCTCGTAATTCACGTATTTCTAAGAGAAGTTCATTAAATGGTGATCAGTACATATACGCATTAGTATGTTCTACCAGGTAGCACCACTCCCACACGTTTGGAGTACAACGTGTGGGAACATATACTGGGACAACAACATACGTTACTTAGAGACCCCTTCAGATACGATTGCTCGATTCTTCGAGAGCGTAGGTGAAGAACTATTAAATAACTTGACGTAATCAGTTAAAAAGGACAATTATTCAAATTTAAATTCTGCTAAATCTGAAGTGGTATTCTCTAGATCACGCAGATTCCTTTCTGACCCTCTCGACGAGTTCCTCCATTTTAGGCGCCTCGAGTCCATCTGACTCGTACTCCATGTCTCACACTCTTCGCCCGCACCGCTCGCGTCCCGCCCTCCGACCCATTCGTCCACTCGCCCACTCGCCCGCCGACCACGGCGTGGGCGCACAATGGCTGGCAGCGCTGCGCCCGTCCGCCGGAGCGACGACGACAAAGCGGCGACAAAGCGATGCCCTTGGGGGAGGGGGGCGTTCCGAGAACGCGGCGAATCGGCGCTCCCGACACTCGGCGTCGTGGCCGCGCGCGCCCGCTTCCCGGTGCTTTCACGGTGTCACTGCCCGCCCCCCTTCCCCCCCCGCTCCCATCGCCCCGCAGAGGCAGCACGAGCAAGACATTCCTTGGGATTGATTGGCGTTTTCTCGGTAGGGTTGTCTCGGAGATTGGAGTTACCTCGGCTGTCGAGGGAATGTAAGCAATTTTGCCAACGTTTCGGCTATCACGCTGTCTTTCCTCAGGAATTGATTGATTAGTGGTACCGGGCGTGTCAATTTCTAAGGTCATTAGTTCCTTAAGTATATTGCATGTTTTTCCCTCAGGGGATTCCGGTGATCTTCCCCGCTGGATCCGGTGAGATCCAGTGCCGACCTCACTTTCGGTTAGCGGGGTTTTCCTCAATTAGGTATCTCCCACCAGCATGGCACCCCCTCAGCCGGGTCAAGCTGCCGACCGGTCTCCCGGCAATCTAGGTTCGGACATCCTGCCGCCGTCGTATTCAAACTTAAGACCTCCCTATCAGAGGCACATCAGTTGATGACCTGATCGCGGTATTAAACGCGATTCCTTGCGGATTAAAAACAATGTTTTTCCAAAAGAAGCATGTTTAAGCTTCAGCTATTTTCAATTGAGACAAGGGTAATAATGAAGCAGCGGCCGCGGAAGAATATTTTTTAAAAACATAAAATATTTTTAAGTCAGGATAAAGGCCATGAAATGTTGGAAATGTTGGCTGAAACTTTGTTAAACCTGCCTACGACGCGGTCGTCCAAGCATAACCGTATGGTCCCGCCGCGGAAGTCAGTCGCCACCTGCTCAGAGCGAAGAAGATTCCGTGCCACCCCGTCCAATTTGTTTCCAGCGCGCTCACGTCGCCGCTCCATTTGCAGATGTCCAAAGCTTTCTTCTGGAACAGAGACATTGTAGAGGTACCTTTGAATGGGCTTCACTGCTGAATAGGTGCCTCAGAGTGAGGGCGCAAATAGAGTGGTTAGAAAACGCGTCGGTCGTGAAAAAACGTTAGACGTTAGACGTGTGAGGAAACGTTGGGGTGAAACGGAAAAAAATTTAAATACTCTACGATTATCTATAAGATAACTAAAAAATAATATGGAATATATGCAATAAAATATTTTATATATGTCTCTAAAATATATTTGTTTTTTTCTCCTGTTCGTCCATTTGTAAAAATAGTGATACCTCTCATGCCCAGACTTACAATAATCTGCGTTTACTATGAAATGACCCTTATTACAGAGCACTAGTTGAACTAAAATACTCGTAAGTTCATATTAATGGGTAGTTTTGAAAAACTACTGAGTAATTTCTTCTCCATCTATTCTTCTTAAATCCGTATTCAGGATTTAAATTTTCGAGTTAGTTTTTCTATTTGCTAATTTCAGTGAAATTCAAGTCTCTACGTGGCTGTTTGCGTTATTTAACGCACTAAATTACACGTTCAGTAGTGTGAATCAAAAACGCATTAGAGCGAAGCGATCACGAAATTTGCTGGTACATTACAGTAGCGTGACACGCCTAGCTCCAACGATCCCACGCAGGGTCATTTTCTAGACGGCTCTTTCACCGAAAACCCACGCGTTCCCCTCCGCCCTGCCCTATAAGGCCCGGCGCCCGCCGGGAGGCTGCAGCCAGAACAGAGGAGGCGTGGATTCGGCCTAAGCGCGCAAGCATCCGCCCGCCGCGTCCACGTCGCCGCCGCCCTCGCCGCTGCCCCGCCCTGCGCGGGAGCTGGCGCGAGGCCGCGCAACAGACGCCGAGATCGGCTGACGTCAGCCGCGGTAGCGCACCGCGCACAGCCTCGGCAGGATGCTCGCGCCGGAGGAGGCCGTGGCAGCGGAGGAGCCGTGGCGAGGTGGCGGAGAAGGCGGCACCGCGGCGGGAGCTTGACGGGCGGTTGTGGCGTAGGATGCGGTTTGAGCGCGGCACTGGGCGGCGAGACCGCTGCGGGGGCGGCAGGGGTGTGGCGTGGGCGCGGCGGTGGCATCCGATCCCTGGGGAAGCCATAATGGGATCGCATCGGGGGCCAGGCGAAGGCGGAGAGATGCAGGAATGATGATGGTGTTCCTGTGGTTTGGGCTGTTGCGCTACCGCGAGAGCAGTGATTGCTGACGTAACGAACGGGATGCACAGTCTCACCCTCATAAAGGAATGCCGCGTCGTCTCCGCGTACAAAGCAAAAGGAAAGAAATAATACTAATGGAATGGTTTATAAAATGATTTATAAGAATGAATATGTGATGGCTTACAACAGCAGTCACTTAAAAATTATCGTAGAGATTTTAATTGATAAAATAATCGTTATCTGTATGTTTATACCCTATATTGTTCAATATTGTTGGTTATACATACTGTAATTTTACAACATTGCATCGACTAATATTCATTTGATTCATGGCGTAACCTAATGTAATCAAACGAGTCACTGACGGTCTTTGTTTTGCGCTACTCGACCTCCGTGAGAGCAGACAATGCTGACGTAAGCAAGAGATGCACAGCACCTCACCTCACAAGAAGGCCGTGTACTAATAGCTTGTTTTGGGGTTTAATTACCTTAACTTCATGATACAAGGCAAAATAATTCTGACATTATCAAATATTTTTAATTCAGTCCGAATTTAACAAGTCGTGGTCTCATCACAAAATAAGTTTTTGAACAGCTTAAATCCTGGGATATACTAATTAAAATGGCTTGAATATTGAAATCTCAGTTTTCTAACAAGTCCTTCATCATAGGAATCCATTCATCCGTTATCTAAATGTCAGATTTACATTTTGCCATATTTGTAACATAAATGTTATAATTTTCGGTTTCCGAAACAATTTAGGTAGTATTGAAGGAAACAATTGTTCACTTATTGAATGCAATTTTCGTTGCATCTTCTATAATAACTCCCTTGTATTAATTATGCTACATACCTTTCTATTCATTTCTTCAAAAATTTGAAAACGGTTAAAAATGAATTTGGAGAAGAAAGAAGAAACTGCGAAGAAAACAAAAAAAGTTACAACAATGACTTGACAAAGAAAGCGAGAAATGTCTGAGAATAAAAGAATATGAAAATCATCATTGACAGCAAGGATTAGACCTCTTAATTTGTTCCGGCTCGAACTTATTCATGCCATCTCTTCAAGGAACGTCCTACACTCCTTTTTTCTTTAGATGGGTATTGAAGAATAATTTTACTTATCCTATATTCTGCCATCCTCAAGACATGACCATTCCTGTTTTCTCGATATATCTTTATTTCTATAGCAGACTCAATATTTAAATTTCCTTTGACATCTATCTGAGAATATGATAATGTAGGACAAAGAGGCATAGAAATCCCGAAGCGACGGCGGGTTCCGTGCAGGCGCTGGCTGCCGGGGGGCCGCGAGCGCTTGGCCCCCCCAGGGCCAGCCGCTGCCGCCGGCGCGGCGTCGTGCGGCGATTCGCCGCGCCGCGAGCGCCCGTCATGGCGCTACCGAAAGCGGTTTTTCATTCAGTGCACTCGAACGGCGGACGCCTCTCTTTACCGCGTTTCCACAAGCAGCGCTGCCGGCCCGTGAAGTGAATTTCCAGAGCGAGGGAAAGGAACTACGTCGTTATCGTTCTTAGAGTTTTCGAAACAACACAAATGCGTGTTCTGTCCACTTTCATGGGTACCCTACCCTATTTAATCTACTAGTAGTTTCCGTGCGAATATTTCTCAAGGAATTTAATACATTGGAAAGCACATAAATCACTTTAGAAATTTTCTTCATTTTACTCTTCGAGAATGAAAATTGATATAGTTTAGAATTCTTCCGAAGACTGTTTCCTTGCTTCATTGACGTCGCGATTCTCCTACCTGTACAGTTCTTCACTGAATTGTAAGATCATTATTACCACGCAGACAAAGAATTTGTCAACATTTTTATTGCGCGACACATGTCACAAAATGACCTGACAAAGAAATGGACAGAGGCCTTGATATAGAGTATATCATAATGATAGACCAAATTCAAAACTAGTGACTGCAAATAAGATAAGAAGAAAATAGAGAAAGATCAAGACCAAAGAATTGAAATAAAATAACATCAATGAATGAATTCAATGACTTGAGAAACTTCTTTAAGCCACGAATATCCAAGACGTAGAGAACGGTCAACGGTCAAGGATGTGAAATATATATATATATATATAATCCAGCAATTTCGGACACTTTGATTAGGCGAGCTGTAGATCCATCTTACTGAGTGTTAGTGATGCTTGTTGCGTAATGTTAGAAGCCGCACACTGGTGTTCTTGGGGTGCGAAATGGGCGACCCGGGCCGAGACTGCCACCGCTGATAACCTTCGGCGACACAGACGCCGTGGACTGCCTTGGCGGGGCGCTAACGGGACACCGGGCAGCAGCGAAGGCAGCTGCTGCGGCGGCGGCGGGGGGGCCATTTTTATGGAAATGGGCTCGTGCACGCTGGCCTCCGACCCTCTCTCTGGTCGCCCACGTCCCGCTAGCCAAAAAGCGCCTTTTTTGCAACCTACAGCATGCCCCCACTGTAGTGGCGTGGCGATGACTGTATTTTGTAAAGAAGTATAAGAAAGAGAATACCGGTTTTGCTAAGTGCAGAATGATAATCAGTATCTCTTGCAACGATGTTGCTTAAATCGAAATTGCAGTTTTCTACTCTGGGGTTTTTGGCTTAAAGATATTGCTTTTTTTGCATCACATGAGTATTTTGAAGACTCAATCGTAGAGTCTCACCGAGAAAGGTAGTGACAACTGTACAATTTTAGATGCAGTTCGACCTTAGTTTTGAACACGTAATTTCTTCTGCATTCTTTTAAACTTCACATCTCATTGGAAAATTTGTTCGCGTCGACGATTCATCCTACCTAGCGTCAGTATCATCCTCTGTCAGCTTCTTTCCCACCCGAGTGATTCGCTCGGTTAGGAATGTTGAGATGGCGAGGTGGTGCAACTTCCCAGGATGCTCAGCGATCTGGAACCCACTACGTGATGCATTCATCAACTTTAATATATCACACAACATATATGTAATTAGACATTTGAAGCCGAAAATGTGGACACTCAAATTTCGAAACTAATAATTTGGGATTTCAATAATAATATAAGACTAAAAGTGCTGTTTATATTTAGTTCAAATATATGAGAATGTCTGGTCATTCTCTTATCTTCTTTATAACTGCTTTGGTCAGTAGGAAGTATGATTAGACGTACTGAAAACAAAACAAAATTGACGATTTTCAGAAAATATTATTCCACTGAAGAGGCGTATTTATAAATAAACTTCTCTTGATAAAAAAGAAAATGATAACCAGGATGCACTTGTAGTCTCGTCTCTACTGTACATTCAAATAAAAATTATTATTATTATTATTATTATTATTATTATTACTATTATTATAACTAAGGTAATAGGAACTGCGCGTAGAAACAGCATAAAGCCCACTTTTAAAATAATCACATAATTATTAACTAGAGTAATACGAGTTTTGTTTTTAAGGCTTATGGTATTGTGAATTCTTAAACTACTGCGTCTCGTCATGCTATGTATATTCCTTTGGAAATATCTTCGTAGAGAACAACGGGTCTTTACCTTTACGTTCCAAAACTCTTAACTTCGCTGCTCAGAATGCAAACAGGAAAAGGCTTTTGACGTCAGGAAGGAGCCTCTGAGTTGGCGCCAGTTTAGTCATCGAGCCACCACAAATTCGCTACCGACACCGACCATTTACAAGTCACGACTCCTGATTCTTCATGTGTCAGTATTTATTTTTGAATTTAACAATTTTTTCTTAGGTTGGGATGGAGAACTTTAACATTGAGTAGAGAACTTCGAGTGGGCTTCTAAAATGTTAAGTTCCTAAAAATACGCTGAATTCTTTCCTCTCATCATGACCTCGTTTTTATTCCTCGTTGTGCCTCAATGTGCCTTTTGTCACTTCTGAAGGGGCCTTCACTCTCTCAGCGACTCTCTTGGAGTAGTAGTCCAGGTCCGCGGCTCTTATTGGAAGACGCTCTCTGTGCGGCTTAAATGAGTAGATTCTCATTCGAAGAATGTTTATTTGTTTCTTTAGTAAAATAACAATAATGATGACGTATTTTGACTTTTCTTATAGTCAGAAAATCATTGAGTTTATTTATTTCCTCATTTTTTAAAAATTCTTACATTTATTTATATTCGGGCAAAATATCTTAATCATAATTTATTTTTGTTTCAAAATTAAAAATCCATTTGTGCTCCAGTTGTGTTAGTTTAGTGGTGCAAATATAATTTCCAGTGCTGATAATCCTAACATAATTAGCACCAGCAATGAATACAACCATTTGAGAAATTCTGGGGGTGTTTTTCGAGAAATAACCCTGATCCGAGGGGAGAACGGCGATGACATATGAAAGGAATCAATATTTATGTTAGAATCATTGTAGTACATTGATGACGAGTTAGGAGATCAAATTGTAACAACATTAATTACCAAGAAATACTGATCTCAAAATATAGTTGTATTTATGATCATCTGGCTTCTGTAACTCTCCTCATATTTGCATGATTTTTACAAAATAATTAGAAACGATAATAACATTAATGACGAATGGCGCCCATGTTCTTCAATCACATCAGTTGTAAAGTTTTAATTATTGCGTCAGCGCACAAAGAAAGTGGCATTTCAAAAATTCGTTCTATGTTGTTAGTAAAAAAATATATTTAGAAAATATTTTTTACCAAAATTGCCATCTCCCCCTCCCCTTAGGGCACGGCCCTGGAACCCGTGAAGCGCGTGGGGGCGGAGGCAGAGGCCCAGACTCTCGCGTCTCTCTTCCTGTACCGCCCGCAACGGCCGCCTTGTTCCTCTGTTACTCGCAGACGCTGGCTAAACAGCGGCGATGCGTCGGCCGTGTTCGGGCGACCGCAGCGTCCACAGAGCGTCTTGTCCTTCCCGGGAGGAGTCATCCATCCCACGCACGCGTGTTGACGCAAGCGATGCGAGGAAGACGCGCTCTGTGGAGAAAATGAGCGAACAGAGGCTCGGCTTTGTAAGGAATTCTTTCTGCCTTGTGGACGCGGGGCGGAGAAAGTTCGTTGAAAGGGAGATGTGTGTCACCGAAGGGACAAAAAAAATTGTGGAGATTCGCGTTAAAAAGTCAAAGAATATAGTGACGCGTTTTTTATAAAAATTCTTTGATTCATCGTTGACTAGAATGCTTGTTGAACTATATCTTGATCGTAATATTTAAACAATTTTACATTTTTTTCTGTCCGGATGGCCGAGATCATTAAGGCTGTAGGGCCGTAGCGACTCGCACCGAATGATCACGGGTTCGAGTCCCGCCTCGGGCACGGTTGTATTAGTGTTCCCCCTTTCACCCCCATCATCACAATTGCATGCCATCTTCACAGTTATAATACTATTAAGTACAATAATGGTCGCTGTGATGTTGATGCGACCTTAAATAACAAAAATACATTTTACTTCATATTACAATTAGTATCTAAGAGATGGGTGTAAATATTCGTAAATGTAAACTGTCAATAAAACAAATTTGAAGGGAGAATTTTATGGTTGTAATACGGAAAATGTTAAAGCAATTTCCTCTCCCAAACTTAAAAATCCGTGCTAAGGAAGAGGAATTCTTTTGAAGATTTCTGCCAATTCTGGAGAAAGTAACAAAAAGCCCTTTTTAAATAAAGTGGAAAAGCGAAAGGATATTTAAATGTCAGCGCGACACCGAAAGCGCAGATTGGCTTATCTCCGGCCCTCAGACAAAATGTCGCCGTTGCATTCAGGGAGGTCAGAAATCGTTGCGGAAGTAAGAGGAGGGAAAGTGCTATTTCCAGTCGGTCTCGCACGTCCGGACTCTTGATGGCATTGTCACGCCGCGCGTGACACATTTAGCAAACAACACCAAACTGCTAAGTTCTTTTGTGAATGTTTCATTCAGAATGAATTATCCCCGGAAAAAAAGGATAAAAATTACATATAAATAGTGTATTATTAAAATTTGTAAACATGTAATATTTGTTAAAATACAATGAATGAAACCATTCTAATGGGAACTGAAACCAAACGGTTAATAGTAAATTATATTCCGTATTTTTAAAGTTGTGAAGAGAACGTTTTTTTCATTTAAAATTCTTGTACAACAATGTCACCCTGTAAAAAGAAGGTTATACATTTATGCCTAATAAAATTGGAATGGAACTGAGAAAAGACCGAAATTCCTGAAATTTAGAAACTGTTCAATGCAACACCAATGAATTACAATTTTCGTTCTACATGCACAGATGTTCATCTACCCGATTCCTAGTCGCCACTCGCTTGGTCTGATCATGGTCACAACGCGTTTAAAAACGTTCTGCTAAGTAAAAAAAGTGATGGCAATAAAATCTTCCAAAATTGTTGTAGTGCTTTATGCTTAGGTAATGTATAAGGTTCCGCAGTTAAAAGGTAGCAGAGAGGAAAGGGGTGACAGCAGTGGGGTAGTGGAAGCGGAGGAAGGCAATGGTTGTGGAAGCGGAGGCAGGCGGTGGCGGCGGGGCGCGTGGGCGGGAAGGCCGCGTCGCCTCCGCGAATCGCGCGTCCTTGCGTCTGCGGCCGGCTGGCGGTGCGGGGGCGCCTCTGCGACGCCGCGGCGGCCAGCTGAAAGCCGCCCTCTGCCCACGGCCACCCAAAGGGGAGCGCGAGTCCCATCCCGCCCGACGCATTCATACTTCTGTAGTAGGTTCACGTCTACTCACACTCGCCATGTCACACGTAGAGCTCTAAATCCTACACTTAAACTCTCTGCTCGCTTCTCCTCTCCTCCCGTTCTTCCTCTTAAACTCCTTGTCTAGTTTTCTCTCTCGCCACTCTCGTTCACCACGCTCTCTTTATTTCTTTCTCTTCTCCACGTTTTTACTTTTCTCTCTCTTCTCCACACTCTCTTCATTTCTCTCTTCTCCACGCTCTTCTAATTCCTCTCTCTCTCTTGTCCACGCTCTCTCCATTTCTCTTCCTTCTCCACGCTGTCTACATTTCTCCCAACTCCTCCTCTTCAGTTCTCTCTGTCGGTCTCTCCTTCGCTCTACTTACTTCATTCAGTTGAGAACTCGCACTGACTCGCGCCTGCTGTTAAGCATTTTTTTAACCTTTTAAAAAAAAATCAATTCTATTAATATTTTTCACGCGTGTCCTGTACACTAAATTTGAAGGGTTCAACTAAAGTATCATTGACTTATTCTTCTCCTATATACGTAGAGGTACTTTTATTATTTGTATCTCAAGCTAAAAAAATTTTCACATAAGGATAAGTATGTCTACCTGATGACTTAGTACAGTATGTATGACGTCATAGACGTAGCGGTTTGTTATTTTCTTTTGCTTGAAGTAGTGGCCAAGACATTTTCCCCAATAAATATGCACTCAGATTGGTGATGTATGATAGTGACTTGCCTCTCTTTACAACTGAAACAACAACTGACGAAAGAGATTTATTAAATGAGTTATGTCGGCATTGGTTCGCGCAAGATGCGAAGTAATGCTTGGCTAACTCGTCTCTAACATAACATGTGATCTACAAGAGTTGTACATTGTATATAATTTATTAGCATCTTTATAAGGTGTGATTCAGTATTATCCAGTTAAGAGAATGATGGGTTGAATTGGTTGTAAAAAAACTAAATTCGTAAGAGTTTTTTTTAACTTATGGAAACTATTTACATTCTGATTGCAAACCTTCTTCGTCTACTACATCCGCTGGCACGAAGAGGTTCGAGTATGCTTCGATGTTAAGAATGAACAAATTATTCTGTAATGATGAGAGTCCACCTAGAATTTTCCTTAGAAGAATTAATATTGAAATTAAAATTGAATGTCAGGACTAAATTGAATATCATCTTGAATTAAGAAATGTATCAAATTCACTAGAAAAAACGCTTATAAGACGATGGTAAAATAAAGTAAGAACGCCATACGAGATGGATAAATACAATAATGGATGTAACACAGAAAATTCTGGATAGCCAACGAGCAATTAGCAGATTATTGTAATAAGTGGACTGAAGAAGGTTCGAAAATATGTAAACGACTTGTTTTGATTTATTTTGTCAAAAAAAAGTAAAAACTGTAAGCAACGTATGAGGGAGAAGTACAAACAGTGCCCTTTTTCTTGAGCTCTGCAAATCTTCCCCGCCTTTTTACCATAAATACTTGAATGATGAATAAAAGTACCAACAAAGCCAGGTTTGTAACATTTGAAAATAGATATTATCGCTTCTGATACAAACGGAACAAAATTTATTAATTTCATCCGTCCATGTATTGTGTTTTATCTTAAAACACGCATCGCATATGATGTCCCCCCACTTCACCACGCGTATCACCGAAGCAACCCACCATCGTGCTCTACCAGCGCGCACCTCCCACGCGCCGTCTTGCGGTGGCCGCGCGTCCGCCCGCGCCTTGAACCCGCGCCCTCCACCGCCCCCTCCTCTGTCCTCCTCTGCCCCCCACCCCGTTGCCCACTGCCCACTGCCCGGGGCGCGCGCGCGGGCGGGCGCCGCGTCACTGTCCGCAATCGGAAACGGATTCCCCTGCACTGCGTCAGTTCCGCACGCGATCGCCCGC